GATCGGGATCGCTAGAGGAGGAGGAGGAGGAGGAGGATAGATGGGACTGACATGTCCGCTCCGGCTCTGCCGAAGCAGCACTGAGCTTTCCCGTGAATTAGATTGATCTTCTCCGCAGCAACACACCGAAGGAGCCAACGGAGCGGGGAAGCGGTGTTTTCCCGAGCAGGGATCCCGGGCTGTGCACCAGAATGGAGGGGCAGGATTGGGGTTATGAAACTCCGGGGCAGCGCGGCCGCAGCCCCGCGCAAACACCTCTGGTGCGCTCCGGAGAGCTGCTGCCTTGAAGGTGGTTTCTGTGATCCTGTTGCTAGGATTAAGCCTTTTTGCATTGCAGCATGGAGAGTCTTTTGTTTGAGTTAAATTCAGACCTCTTGATATGTCACCTGACAGTCTTGTGGTTTTGGATGAATATGGCTCATTGCTATTATTAACCTGAGTTGGCAGCCGGGCACAACAGGAGTTTATAAGGATTTTGGAAAGTGGAGCGGCTCGGGGGACAAAGATGCTTCCCAGGTACGGTCACTGCACAGCTCTTGAGATGATTTTAATTGTTGGAAAGCTTAATATCTTGACTGTGACGAAACGATCTCTGTTCCAGAGATGCGAAGCTTTTAGGGATTTATTTTATTTACAATTCTTCTTATACTTACATGCTACACGGCACAAATGTGGGGGTTTCCCCCTGAACTGCTTCTATCTGTTGTAATTTTGCAAAGGGACGTGCAGTCTAGTTGGATAATGTAAAACATTGTCTTCAGGGCTAGTGAATTTAACCGAGGAGCTGTGCCTCGTTTGTGTGTGTTTTGTGTGTGTGTGTTAAAACAGGTATTTCAAACGAGAGAGAGCGTGTGTGTGTATGTGCGTATGTTTGCAGGGATAGATGTGCTTAAATCAGCTAGAAGCCGGACGGTGCTTTCTCAAATGATGTACCTGAAGTAGTCCCAAAAATACTCGATGAAATTACTAATTGTAGATTCTGAAGCTGTGTAAATTGCGAAGTTACTCAAAGTGATGTATGTTTTTAACAAAACCTTCCAACCTGTCTTATTTTCAGTATCATGGTCCAGGTTATGATTAATGTATTGACCAGACTGCACCTAACTTACATCTTTTTGCTTGTGGAAAGGCGTTAGGCTCATTTATAGGACTTCAGTATATAAATCAGGCGTCTTAATGAGAGCCAAGTGACTTGGTAGAAGGGAGGAAAAAAATGAAAGCAAACTGAAGTCAGCTTCATGTACAGTTAAAGAACTGGACAGAGCCAAGGACCTTGGAAGCCAGTTGCAGTTTAGGTCCAAGTTTATTACACTGAGTGTGAAATATCTGGCTGACTGTGTGCCTCGTGTACAATATGTGCTTAGTATAAGCAGGAGAAGTTTCCTGGAGCTCAAGCAGTGCAGCTATTCAAGGTGAGGATTGCTAAGCTGGTAAATGAATGAGACAGACTTGGAGGTGGAGCATGGAGCTGACCTCTACGGTGCTGCAGTGCCTGTGGACGTGTCACCCTCCTTCAAGACATGAAAAGGGATCTCTTATTTTCTAACCAAAACCTTATTTCCGTGTGATTAACCTGAAGAATGCAGCCGCCCGTCATGGGTGGTTGTCCCTGAGGATATCCACCATCTATCAGGTCTTCCAAGCCATCCCTCGACTTCTGAGAAACCCCCCTGAGGTCCGAGTGACGGAGGGCGCTGGCTCAGCTCCCTCGCAGTCCATCGTCACGGGCTCCCTCCGTGGCCGTGGTCGAGTCACAAACGCTGGTTTTCTCTGCAGAGTCAGCGGGGGTTCACCACAGTGGTCCCACAGCCCTGGGGTGACCTCAGCTCTTGGGAAGACAAGGATCTTGCAGACTTCCTTCCAAGTATAGGCCCTGTGGTTTCTCTAGAGATGTTTCTCCTCCTCACAGCCTTATAGTCATGTTATGTCACCAGCACTGAAGGGGAATCTCTTGCTGAAAATGCCAACTTTGCAGATCAGTCTGAATCACCCTTGTCATGTGAATCCTTGTAAAGGTCTTTTGTGTTTCAGGTGGTGTTATTAAAAAAATAAATAACCTGCCCATGCCTCTTTAAAAAAAGCTGATGGATGGTCTTCCAAAGCTGGAAGCAGCATTAACATGCCGTACGTTGCTGTTTCCATTGCTTCCAAATGAGTTTCAGAAAGGTCTGCGTAGCTGTCTTGGTACAGTAAGGGTCCAATAAGAAGAAAATTATTGAAGGTATTAAAATACGTGTGATACACTCTCCAATATGCTCAACTTTTGTTTTATCTTCTCAAAGCCAAACGAGAAGAAAAATCACTAACGGATAAATGTGCAGAGGAATTTGCGCAGAAGGGAGTCCCTTGTTGGAAAAGACACCTCAGTCAGGGTGAGAGGTGTATGATGTGGTGGTTGAACTCAGCAAGGACCATTCTCCTTTTGCTTCTGATCACCCTTCCCTATAACAGAGCAAGCGCAGGATCCTGAATGCTGCTGGGTTTTGTATGTACAGGTGGGAATGCTTTGATGTGACTGTACATCTCTATGGAGATAATCTGCATCTGAAACATCCCAATGCACCCTGTGGAATGAGCTCAGATTTGCAGCATAAGCCCTTCAAGACAGAGACAACCTCTGTCCAGTGCCGTGTAGAAGTTGGCTGTGTCTAAGTACCGCTGGAACAACACTAATACATGGAGAGTATCACCTGTAGGAGTTGGAGATAAGCCCTGGGGATCCCTGTACCTTTGTCCTGATGCTCAACAGAAACAAAGGAAGAAGTTTCCTTTCACATGGCAGGCATGGAGCAGGGCAGACCTGCTCTGCCCTGGCTGTTCCTGGCAGCCTTTTGCCAAGGTGCTAACATGAAAACCACGCAGAACAGATAAGCTAGCATAAACTATAAATATCATTTGCGTAGATGCTTTTAAAAATAGTCCCAAGTGATTCATCACCAGGCAATTTTTATAACTATGGGTAACATGATGTAGGAAAACAATAGTTTAGTAGTTTCAACTTACTTTTTCAATAGTTAGTCACAGGCTGGCTTTGAGCAACTTTACTTTTTAGCCAACTCTTTTAGAACTCCTGCCTGCTGAATACCTTGATCAGTTTGCTTCAAGTGCTTCTCTTTAAGACTTCTGAAACATCTGTTAATTATTAAAAGGTACTCGGATATTATCTAAGCTGTGTTAATGTGAAATAGTTTTACAAGTAAAGTGTCAGGCAGGAGGAAGAACAGTACTGAGCTAAACCTTGAATGTAATGAAGAAGTGCTGCTCGTGTTGCAGTGGAAGCAAGGAGGAAGGAATGTGTTTGCTTTCAATTACAGGGGAAAATCATGTGTTTTAATTGGTGGAGTGGTAATGAAGGATTTCTCTGTCGTTTCATCTGTTGGAACTTGCACACAGTGTAGTAATAGCAATTTAAAGCCATTCAGTTGCCTCTTGCTGGGAAAAGTCAATGGCAGTAATAAACTCCAGGAATTAGATACGTGAGAAAATCTGTCCTTGGAGAGCATTTGGAGTTCTGGATTGCCATGCGACTCGCAGTCCAGGTGTCGAGAAGCATGGGATGGAGCTGTAAATGTAAACTACAAATAATATTCCTAGTGGCTAAAGGTGTGAAAGGCAGGAAAACAAAACGGGTGAGAGAGACGAACTGAACAATAGCAGTACTTCAGTGTGAACATGCATGAAAATAGCATTTTTCAGGCTTTGATTTCTTCATTATGAGTTTCTGATAATTTCATCATTATTCACGTGGAGGTTTGCCTTTCTGTCCCGAAGAATTCCATTCCTTTTGTGCTTTGTACTTAGCATCTGTGCAGGGGGGTTGGACCGATGACTTCCAGAGGTCCCCTATGACCTCAACCAGGCTGTCATTGGGTGAAATTTGCTTGTACAAGATTTGCTTCTGAAATATCCCAGGGAGCATTTATGTATCAACAGATTTCCACCTCATTTATTCATACAGGTGTTTCTGAACATCTCATTCAAGAAGAACCACTATTTGGAGACACAGCTCTCCACAGGGCTGGTGTTCTGCTCACTGTTTCTTCTGTTGCTCAACACACGTGCTTACAGCACTAACATCCCAATCGCTTCCACTGGTGGAAAGGTTGTTGGGCTTTTCTCCTGGTGACTTCTATGTTTGTTTGCTATTTTCACTGTTTGGTTTTGTTTGTTCTTCAGTCAGTTTCAAGGGAAGATCAAAGAGTGGTAGATAGGTCACACAGGAGAGCTGTCACTTCCAGACCAGTGCAGGAGATGGAGACTCGCCTTTCATTAACATTGCTGGAACATCTGATTCTGCATCTCCTGGTTTTCCTATGAGGATCTCAGGAAAACATCAGTTAAATGTCAAAGTTGGTTTCCATTTATAAACAGAACTAATTCTCTTCAGTAGATGTAGGTCAGTTTTCATCAGTGCTGGAGTATTGCCCTGGTCTGTTTGTTCTGAGAACATGCCCTGTGCATTGCATGCAGGAATTTGTACGTTTCTAGGGATAATCTGTCCAGTTATCATGTTTAGTGGTATTCCAAAGCTGCTAACAACAAAAGCAAAGCTACTCTGTGTCCTGCTTCCTCCCGGCGGGGTGGCGGTGGGGCCGAGTCGGAGGTGCCAGCCTGCCTCTGTTTACTGTCTGTCTAAATGAACTTTCCCCCAGCTCTTGTCAAGTTTCTCCGGGTTTGGGAAGTGGCCCGCTATTGCCAGGGAATGTTTTTGCAAGGCTGAAATGTGCTTAAGGACTCCATTATGTAACAGAGATAACGCTTCTCTGGAATTATCACAAATTACGAGGGTTAATATCTACTAAAAGCTCGTCTAGAGAAAGTTAAAATGTCATGTGGAGAAGCTGAGAAGTAAACAAGCTCTTGTTACCTTGATCCAGTATGTTTCCGAATACAGCAAGAGTTTTATATTTAGCTTTCTCTGCTCTTAGTGTGTAATCTGCTCTTGGAGCTTTTTATAAGTAGACTTCCCTAAGATCTGGAACAGCTACTGCCCTTCTTTGCCAGTAATTTCAAAGTCAAATATCAAAAGCACTAGGTAATGGAAGAGATGCTTTTGTCTGAGTGTGGAGGAAAATGACATGTGTTGCAAGGGTGGAGCAAGCGATAGCACCTTTTTGGCAAGCAATTCGTTGTTATTGTCACACACTGTTTCCTTATAGGAACCGCAGTGGTCTATCTGGAAACAAAATGTGTTTCCAGACATCTATAGAGTTCAATTAAGTATATGGAGATGGTTCCTTCAGGAAGCCAGCTTCTCCAGTAGGCCTTCTGCCTCCTCACCTCTAGCTGAAGGCAGGCTCTAGTGCCTTGGAGTTCATCACACTCCAATACATATCAAACAATATGGATTTGTTTTCTTACATTTTCTGACATGCACAATGGGGCTCATGAGCAGAGTCCCTGGTAGCTGTAACCTCTGCTCTGTGTTTGTCTCTGTGCTTGGTTTAAGGGACAGACTTGCTTGGTTTCCAGCCCAGTCTTCATGTGGGCATGGCCCTCTGTGGAGGATGCTTGGCTTTAGGTACCTAGAGAGGGTGCACAGCTCTTTGCCCCCAAGTCTACACATCACGTTACTTCAGTTTCAAGTTGCTCAAGCTTTTCTTTTTGTAATAAGTTGCTTTTGCCATTTGTTGCACATTCTTTTCTCTGCAGCTTCTGTTTTTCTCTCCTGTTGCTAAATGGTGGGGCTGAGCAGATTAGGAAATGGATTTCCTCTCTTAAGAGACCGAGTAACTGTATGTCTTGGTGCTTAGTTTCACCTCGCTGGGACCACACTGTCTCACGCTTGTGAATCTATGTTGGAGAGTCTTAAAAACTCCTGAAAGGCAGCCACAGCTTTGGTGATCGAATTGATGCTGTGACCTGTTATAGAAGTCGTTGGGTTACAAATCGTCATTCACTACTGATCACATAGAGCATGTGTGCAGAGAAGGAAACCTTTTGGTTGGTGAATGAGGGACAGAGGAGAGGAAAGTACACCATAATCTTGGAGTCTGCCGTGCCAGGTTTACTTTAGTCCATAGTCTCACTTGTGGGTGTCTTTTTGCTGAAGTAAATGTACATCTTACAAACAGGGAGCCTGTGTCCTTCATTAACGGCTGGAAAGTTCCAGCGCCTTGTTTCTCACTTCTTGGGGTTTCATGCTAATGCAGCCTGCCTAAAAGCCAGGGATAAGGAAGATAGGATTTCATCTGGTCTAGGAAATGGCTT